TAAGGGAGATACTGGAGCCAAGGAGGAGAAGGAGAAAGCAGCTGGAGGGTGAGAGGAGACCAAAGGTAGGAGGTGGCAAGGTAAGGATGTGCTTATTCTCTAGATAGGTAGTGAGTGCAGGTGTGCAGGTACAAAGGTCTGTGCTCCATTTACATACCAGTAGCAATATCTGTATACATGTGCATGGGTGGGGGCATATACATGCCTGCTGTGTACACAGATACATGCATATGGGTGCATGTGCCTGGTTGTGTGTACATGACAGTGGGAGTGTGTGTGAGCCCATGCCTGTCCCTAAGCAGGTGCCAGACTCAAGAAATCAGGTAGAATAGGAGGTAAAATCAAGGTTTTATTTCCTGAGACAGAAGAGGCCTGGAAAGAGTGATTAAACCTCCTGTCTTGGCTGAAATCACTCCTGAGGCCCTGAGGCCAAAGAGTTTCTTTGCCTCTTGCCCCAGCCCCAGGGAAGAGGAGAAAGATACCACCTTGCTTCTGGTGCTGGGCACTGGGGGCTTGGGGCCCTGAGGGAGCAGGGGTGGGCCTAGGGGTTGGATAACTCCCCAGTCTGCTGCTGCCTCCTAGGGCCTCATTGGAGCTTGTAACAGGTCGGGCAGAGAGAGGCTCTAGGGCAAGGGGACTTTCCTGTGACCATGTGAAGAGCAGCCACTGCACTGTCTAGGCTCAGTGATGCCTGGACGCTGCCACTTCCCACCCTACTTGTCTCTTCTTCTATGACTCTTTTTGTGCTGGGGCCAGTTCCAGGCCTAGGAGTGGGATCTGCTGGTGGAAGCCATTGGTGGGGGCTGGGGGAAGAGGAAACAGGGAGGAGGGCAGGCAGCCCCCTTCTCTGGCAGAGGCAGGTCAATGGGGCCCTGCAGTGTAGTTGGGATTTGGGAGGAAGCCAGCTCTCCAGGGAAGTAGCTAGGAAAGCAGGGAAGCATGGAACAGGAGGGGAAGCATGGAACAGGAGGGGAAGCAGCAGGAGACAGGATGGGCTGCTGGAGAAGGGAGGGGAGGTGAGGAGAGGAGAGAGACAGATGGGAAAGCAGGAGAGGAGCCGAGGAGAAGGCTGCAGCCGGCAGGGGGTGGACTTGCGCGGTGATGCTCCGCCCCCTCCCTTTCCCCCATCCACAGTGGGCCTGAGGCCTGAGCCTGCTCCCTGCTCTGCTTTTGAGGGTAGTTGTGGCTGCTCCCTTGGGGTCTAGGAAGGGGGCTGGAGGTCTAGGGGAACATTGCAGCGAGGAGGAAAAAGAGAAGGCCAAGGAACTTTCCTACCTTTGGACCTGCAGGAGAAGATGGGGAGGAAAAAAAGTGGCCTTGATTATTTGGTTCTGCAGTGAGAATCCTGTCTTCTTCCTGATGCTGATTCTGTGCCCACCTCCCACTCCTCTTCCCCAACAAGGCTCCTCAGACTTGGCCACTTGCCTGACCATCATCCCTTCATTCATTCGCTCAACAACAGATCTATATTGAAAGTCAATGCAAAGTTCAGTAGTGCATCCCTGTTTGCTCAAGAGCTGGCTGAGTTCCCCTTGGGTAGGGAGGGGCTAGTTAGGAAGTGTGGGTTCCTGTCCCCACTCTGTCAGCTGTCTGCCTTCCCAGCCTCAGCCAAACTCTGTGACATTCCGCACAGGGAGGCACTCTGCATTGGCAAACCCTGTTTCTTTTACCTCCACCTCAGGCGGGCCCCACACAGCTTCCCCCTCTGCCCCCTCCCCCCAGACCCCAGTTGTTCAGCCCAGTCTCTGCTCAGATCCTCTGCTGTTCCTTTGCTCCTGCTTCTGACCTTCTGGTCCCAGGTCTTAGTAGCCTTTGCTCATGTTTCCTGCCATTTGGAAATCTCTCTTGCTCGACTCTATGTTGCATTCCTGCAAGAAGTCCACTTTAGACCATCCTGCCTGCCCCGACTGCCCAGCTGCGGGTCCAGCAGGCTCATTTCTGCAGTAACCAATCTGAGTGGTTCTGAAGTACTCCATTGGTGAGAGTCACCTACTCAGTGACATTTAAATTTGTTGAGGGCCAGCATGATCTTTTGTTCCTCTTGAGGGGAGCCAGTGGCACAGCTGCCAGTAGTTCGGTTCTGGGCTCTAGACCCAGCCACACCTCCAGACCCAGCCTCACCCTGAGAATGACCTCTAACTTCCCTAGAGCTCATGTGTATAATGGGAGGAGCCCCTGTCACACACACACACACACACACACACACACACACTCTTGGCTTGCAGTAGATATGACTGGCTGACTTCCCCCGCCTTCACCACCCTCCTTCCTTCTCCCTTCTCCCACCCTACAGCTGCCCACTGCAATACTTACCTCGATCCATCTTTATGGGGCAAATGCAGGGAGTGACAAGAAGAACACCTGTGATTCAACAGGTAAAGTTTAGTTTGCTATGATCTAAATCTCTCTGTCTCCCTCCCAGGGATGTACCCTTATAGCCCCTTCAAGGGATGAAAGGATAAAACTGCTCCCTCTGGCCTAACTTGGTACTCAGTATGGAACTGGGCACTGAGTGAGCACCAGCATAAGTGCTGAGTGGAACCAGTGGTTTCAACCACATGGTGGGTAGACAGAGACATGAGACCATTATGCACCCCTGAACCCTGCACCCTCACACTTGACCCCTGAGATCCACCCCCAGGCTCACGGTCATGTATTAATTCATTTCTACTTGGGTCAATTTCAGTCATGGTTATTCTTGCAGTGCCTACCATGTGTCAGGTACCCAGTCCCCAGAGACTCTTGTCCATGTAAACACCTGGCATAAAGGTATAGAGGGAGGTTTGGTGAGATCAGTGCACCTAGAGCAGGGAGGATGGGGTTGGTAGGTAGTGGCCTCTGGGGGATCCCGGGACCCTAAGGCCTTTGCCCCTGCAGTACAAGTGAATGGAAAACCTTCCCCAGTCCAACCTGCTTGTTCCTCTCTCCTCCCACCAGAATTGGAAGGGGGCTTGAGGTCTGAGCCAATTTGCCATTTGTCAACAAGTGTGCTCTCATAGGTTGGAGCTTCTGGGGTGCCCTGCTGCCAAGGCTAGGCTTGTCTTGCTTGGGGCTGGTGCATAGGTCACAATGGACAACTCCAAAATGGCCCTAGTGCAAACACGGTATGTTCATTTTTTTCTGACCCACAAATCAATATATGTGACATAAGGACCAAATACTTGACATGAGGGTGCTCTGATACTCATATGGTTGCTAAACATACAAGCACATGAGTTCACACACACACACACACACACCCCTGTAACACTACAGCCCAGCCCCTTGCAGGACCGGCCCTTGGCACTTTTGAGGTACCCATTTTTGTTGGATTCTACTTGTGCCACAAATGTTCAGCTGAGGTCAGCCTCTGAGCTGTGTCATTGTCCTTCCTGCCCCCTCCTCCTTCCCCTTAGTGAGTGATGAGTCTGAAAGAGATCCATGAGACTGGGCTTGGGTGGGGGAGAGTGGTAAAGAAAACCTTAGGGCCAGCCAGGATCTGGCTTGGAAGACAGAGAAAAGATATGCCTTGGAAAAAAACAATCCCATTAAAAAATGGGTAAACAACCTGAACAGACAGTTCTCCAGAGAAGACATCCAGATGGCCAGCAGGCACATGAAAAGGTGCTCAACATCACTAATCATCAGGGAAATGCAAATGAAAACCGCAGCGAGATACCATCTCACACCTGTTAGAATGGCTGTCATCCGAAAGATAAGAAATGTGTGTTGGCGAGGATGTGGAGAAAAGGGAATGTAAATTGGTTCAGCCCCTGTGGGAAATGGTATGGAGGTTAAAAAAAATTAAAAATAGGACTACCATATGATCCAGTAATTCCATTCCTGGGTATTTATCCAAAGAAAACAACAACACTAATTTGAAAAGATATATGTGCCGCTATGTTCACTGCAGCATTATTGACAACAGCCGAGATGTGAAAACAACCTGAGTATCCATCAACTGTTGAATGGATAAGTAAAATATATATTATACACAATGAATATTACTCAGCCATAAGAAAGAATGAAATCTTGCCATTTGCAACAACATGGATGGACCTTGCAGGCATTATGCTAAGTGAAATAAGTCCGACAGAGAAAGACAAGTACTATATAACCTCACTTATATGTGGAATCTAAAAAAAATCCCCCAAACAAATAAAAACCTCTCAAGCTCATAGATACAGAGAACTGACTGGTAATTGCCAGAGGCAGAGGGTGGGGCTTTGATGAAATGGGTGATGAGGTCAAAAGGCACAAACTTGTACACCTGAAACTAATTTAATGTTATATGTTAATTATACCTCATTTAAAAAAAAAAAAGACCTTGGACTGTCTCTCCCTAGTTCAGGCCAAGATGCTTGAGGGACAGGAGTTGGTGGCTACAGAAGGGAACTAATGCAATCCCCTCATTCCTCAGCTAAACCCCTCTGCCTGGCACGTCAAAGGCTGTAAACTCAAGGAGACAGCGCAGGCAGGCTCAGCCCAGGAGTGGGTGCAGGGCGGGGGGCAGGCATGTAGGCAGACATACAGGCAGACACACAGACACACAGCACACAGACCTACAAAGCATTCATGAGACACAAACCAACACCCAACCACAGATTCATGACACCCTCACAAAGAGACACAGAAGCACAGATTCCAGTTCAAGACACATACACACATACCCAGGGAGACCTGATCACACCGACCTACAACACACTCTCACAGAGCCCCTTCTGTCCCCTGCCTACAGCCAGCAGAGCCAGACCCTTACCTGAGAGTGCAGACAGAGCAGGGGGCAGGAAGCAGTCTGAGGCTCTGTCAGTCCTAAGTGTATTTGTAAAGGGGAGGGAGGAGCTGGGATGGACCAGGTGCACTGGGAGGGTCTGGGCATAGGGTGTGGAGGAATGAGGAAGGCTAATATTTAACTGGGCAAAGGGCAGCTGGAAATAGGGTGTGTGTGTGTGTGTAAGGGTGGAGCGGGTAGGAGGGAGCAGGGAACAACCCATTACCTGATCCGTCTTGTAACAAGATGCCATAGGACCAAGGCAGGGGTCCCAAACCCCTCTAAGGCTGTTCAGCTCCCAGGGACCGGCTCTAAACACTCGTGGAACTCCCACTGAATGCCAGGCCATGAGGTGCTTCAAACATTTTAGTTAACCTGCAGACTCATACAGAATAGATGGGGTTATCACCTGTTTCCATAGGTGAAGGAAGACATAGTGACTCTAGTGGAGGAGCCTGTGGAATCTTTGCCTGAGCAGCCAAGTTCCAGGGCTGAATTCTCAAATGTGCTGCCCAAGCTCAGGAAGCTAGCCTGGGAGTGGAAATTGAATGAGTCAGAAAACAAACAAACAAACTGTGGTTACCAAAGGGAGGAGGGACAAATTAGAGATATGGGATTAACAGACATAAACTACTATATACAAAATAGATAAGCCACAAGGCTGTACTGTATGGCACAGGGAATTATAGCCATTATCTTGTAATAAACTTTAACAGAATATAATCAACAAAAAATACTGCATCACTATGCTGTACAACTGAAACTAATACAGTATTGTAATTCAACTATACTTCAATCCAAAAAAAAAGAGTTTTAAAATAGAACTGGGAATAAGATCAATACATTTCCAGGACATCGGAAAAAGAAAAAAAGAAAAGAGGAGTTTCCTGATGGAATGTCCACAAGCAGGAAGGGAGCCTAGGGTTTTGCAGTCCAGGCCAGCTCACTCTGTACTCTGCAAGCCCCTGTGGACTGGCCCTGCTGACCCCTTGACCTCTGCTCTGTGTCACAGCCCTTCGCTCTGTGTGTTTCAGTCACGCTGGCCTCCCTTAGGCCCCTGCAGACACACCAGGTGCCTCTGTTACAAGCTCCCTTCTCTCCCTGCATCCTTTCCTCTCATGTCTCCTGCTCCACAAGGCTCTGCTCTCACCTTTGTGTTCCCAGGGACTGGCCCTTAAGAGATGTCTTGGCACTTAGCTGATGCCTAATAAAAATCTGGTGAATGAATGCGAGGTTGGAGTGTAGTTACAGTTGAGTAATAACTTGTCTCCATCTCTGTGGTTTATATTTTATGTTTTTCTCTCTCTTTTACGTATTGTTAAAAAATAATTTTTTCCTGGAAAAAGAAGGAGGAGGATCTCTCCCAAGATCGCAGCCCCCTGGCTGACCTGAGCTCATGCGTCCCGCCCCTTGGGCTCACTGTGCTGGGGGAAACAGGCCAGCTGAGACTGCCACCCTCAGCTAGGTGAGGGGGCCCAGTTGGCCCCCGTTTCAATCAAGGAGAACAAAGACCATGTGAGATCAAACACCCACAGACGGAAGCAGAGAAGTTCAAACAGCTGCTGTTTCTAGGTTCTCCTGTGAAAAACCTGGCTGAACTAGATGCACCTGAACTTTCTTAAATTCATTTGTAAAAAGTACTCTACCTCAAAGAAGGGAAAATCCAGGGCCTCACAAAAGTTCATCCTTGAAGGCTCACAGTAACTTTGTTTGGGCTAGCTAAACATGGGGAACTTCTCAAATGTCCATCAACAAGCAAATGAATAAAGGAACCACGGTGCAGGCATTCGATGGAACACCAGTCGACAGGAAAAAGGAATGAACAACTGATACACACGAAAGCATGACTGAAACTCAAAATAACTGTTGAGTGAAGGAAGCAAGGCATAAAAAATACATACTGTGTGGAGGGGGAGGGTACAGCTCAGTGGCAGAGTACATGCCCCGTGTGCACATAGCCAGTTCAATCTCCAGTACCTCTGTTAAAAAAAAACAACCTAATTACTTCCTCCCAAAATAAAAATAAAACAAAAAACACAATGAAGGGGAAAAGATAGGATAAGTCAAAAAATACATACCATATAATTGCCTATAAAGTTCTAGAAAAGGTGAACTAATTGATAATGACAGCAGATCAGTGGTTGCCCAGGGCGACAGCGTGGTGGCAAGGGGGAGGTGCTAGAAGGAGATATTAGGGAACTTTTGGGTTTGATGGATATGTTCATTATCTTGATTGTGATGATGGTTTCCTGGAATAAACACACGACCAAACCCATCAAATTGTATAATTTGTGCAGTTTCTGGTATATCATTGTGGCCTCAATCAGAGCTATAAAAACGGAAGTAACAGAACCACGTCAGAAAACAATTTGGAAAATGGAGAGGAGAACAGTGATTTCTGTCAGGTTCTTTTAAAATACCAATGATCACATATCAGCTCTTGGAGATAGGTGTTATTATCTTCTCCTCTTCTTTAGATTAGAAAAAGCCAGGATTCAGAGAAGTTAAGGAACTTGCCTGAGGTCACCCAGCCAGTGTGTAGTTAGTCCTAACTGGGGATGGTCTGAGTCTAGAGCCTAGGCCCCTTCTCCACATTACATTGTCTCTCTTTCGGGAATGGTCTTCTGAAAAATTCCAGCCTGCTTTGATAACATTGTAGGCAAAGAACTTGGTTTATGAATAGGTGGGGTGTTATTAATCCATCATACACATATTTGCCGTGAGACTTCGGGGAGCCAGGGCATGGAGGGCGGGCAAAGGTCTGCAGCAGGTTTACAAAGGGGCGGTGCCTGCAGTGATCACACCCTCCAGCCTGAGCTGCCTGAATGGCACTGCCTGTGGCCACCCACGCTTTGCCCTCACCAGCCCTCAGATCCCCCCTCTTCAGGAATCCTCCTTTTCCCTTTCTGGGACCCTAATGACCTCCACCCCCATCCCTTGGCAGGAAGCTGAAAGGTCTTCCCTATGTCTTCATGGACCCCCAAGGGGGCAAAGGGGCTACAGAGCTGAGAAGGGTAGTGGGCGCTCATGCGGAGGGCTCGAGGTTCGGGACCTCAGTTCTCACCATCTCTGGAGTCAGGGTCTGGAGCATGGGAGGCAGGCAGGTGGTACAGAGGTCTTGGGCAGAGGAGATGGACCCATTTTGATGGGGTGGACAGAGAAGCTAGGACAATCTGAGTGGTCTGGGTGGGGCAGAGGCCCTCAGGAGGTGAGGAGCAGTGGTGGGCACATTGGGGTCAATTTATGGCATAGTATGATGTTTGTGGATTCTTTCATACCCAATCCTAAGATGCTGGGGCGAGCAGAGCCTTGAGGACGTGTGGGTCCCCTCCAGTCTCTGGCACTGTGCCTTACAAAGAGAAAGTGCTCACCACCAAATTCTTGGATTTATTGCCTGGTGAAGAGAGGTGGCCCTTCCATACCAGAAAGCCACCAGGTGGAGAAGAAAGGTGCTCTGGGAGCAAGAAGAGACACTTCTGGGGTGAGGGGCTGGGCTCAGGGAGAGGAGAGGTTGAGAGCATCTCTAGAAACAGTAGAGGCCAGGGGTGGGGATGTCAGGGAAAGTGGACTGACAGTGAAGGCCAGAAGGCAGGTCATCGGTCCTCTCTGACCCCCAGTCCCCATCAGCAGAGCCAGCGAGGCCCTGTTCTGGGGTTGTCCAGTGGGGAGGGAGGCGGGACAGGCCGGCAACTTTGCAGGGTTTGGGTGGACAGGTTTCTTGTGGCAGGAGGGCAAAGGTGACCCGGCCCTGGCACGAGCTGGAGCGAGTGCTGCAGGCATGGGACAGGTGCAGTGGGAGGCCCCCATGCTACCATGGAGACTCCTGGTCAGGTCACTGACCCTGATCTCCAAAGAGACTCAGATAACACCAGCCTTGGCTAATTCACAGATTTCAAAGCTTGACAAGATCAAATGACATCAGGTGTGTGAGGGCTTTGGCCGTGTTAGACGTAAGTGCAAGCTGTTGCTATGATTATCAGTATTGGCACTCATATCCTATTTTTTTCCTGTCCTCATCAGAATGAGGGAAGGAACTTCCCTTGCTCACACTGGGATCTTCCTGTCGGACACATCCCCACCTTTGGTCCTGGCATAGCTCAGAGTATTTTGCAGGCAGGCTCCTGAGAGCCCCTCTTTCCCTGCCCAAGCATCTTGCCACAGCCTCCTTCCCCATGAAGTGACCAAACATCCAGGTTTGCCTAGGAGTGAGGGGAGTTCTGATTTTAAATTTGTAAATTTTTAATATAATTTTTAAAGGTTACATTCCATTTACACTTATTACAAAATATTGGCTATATTCCCTGTGCTGTACAATACATCCTTGTAGCTTCTTTTACACCCAATAGTTTGTGCCTCCCACTCCCCTACACCCATATTGTCCCTCCCACTCTCCCTCCTGATAACCAGCCACTGGTTTGTTCTCTACATCTATGAGTTCTTTTTTGGTTATATTCACTAGTTCGTTGTATTTTTAGATACCACATGTAAGTGATATAAGTGGTATTTTTCTTTCTCTGTCTGACTTCACTTAGTGTAATGCGGAGGGGAGTTCTGGACACAGGACTTTCAGTGCTAAGACAGGGTCAGTGCCAGGCAAACCTGGACAACTGGTCCTACTGCTTCCCTCCCACCCCCAGGCTGCTTCCTCTTCCCTGCGGTGACGGTGGTGTCCCAAGCATTTCAGCATGTTCTCACCCTGGTTGCCTTCTCCCACCTTGAAGCCTCTAGGCCACTGACACCACCCAGAGAGGGGGGACACCTACCATCCACCAACTCTGCCATTCCAAAGGCCCTTCCTTTTTTTTCAGTGGGACGAGCCAGCTCTCACCAATCCCTCGACCTTCTGTTGGGCTTCTGTCCTCCTCTCCAACCCTCAGAACTGTGCCAGACCTTTGCCCTATCCCTGGAGGGTGTGGCCCCACCCACACCTCCCTGCCATGAGAGGCCCCTGTGGTCTGTCCCATGTCAGCCTTCCAGCCTCCCTGCCTGCCCAGAGGAAGGAGAACCCTGGGCACCTGTAGGCAAGCCCAGCCAACTCCCACATCCACCAGGGCCCCAGGCCTGAGTCCTCCATACTGTCTTGGCTGCCCCTCCCGCATTCCCAATGCTCTGAGGCCTCCTGAGGCTCTCCTGATTACACTTACTCTTCCCTGGACCCCCACCCCCTAGCCCTGTCTAGTGCAGACCCCTCCCACCAGAGTCTGGACTCAGCCTCCTCCCTGGCTTCCTAAACCACTGCATGGCCTCTTCCAGCCCTGCTGTCAAACCTTTAGCGAGCCCCTCTGGACTCCTCTGCCCCCGTAGTCAGTCCTTCAGTGACCTCCCTGCTCTGGTCTGCACCTTCCTAACCTAATGCTCTGTTACTGGTAAGAAGCCACCACTGCCTCTCACGCTGCATTCATAGGACGCTGTCTCACTGCCACCCCCTGGTGGAGTCTTGCTTATCCCCTGGTTGCTTAACTCCTGGAATGCTCCTCAGCTGATCTGAGTCCATGCCACCCTGGCCTCAGACTGAAGTGGCCTGGTATCAAGTGTCTCTGTAGTGGAGCTGGGTCTTCACTCTTTGTTCCCTCATTGACTTGGCCAGGTGAAGTAGCTCAGGGGTTTAGTTCCACACAAGGGTTCACATCCCATTGCTGGGCCTGGAGCTGGAAATCTCAGGAGGCCCAGGTCCAGGGAGTGCCTTGGAGAGCAGAATGGAGGAGGGGCTCCCCAGACTATCCTTCTGCCACCTGATGCTTCAAAGGGCATTGGCCCCACCTTGCTCTGGCATACGTGTTCTTGGGAGTGTAGGGCCCAGACTGTCTCTATCAGCGAGAGCCTCATAAGGCTCCTCCCTCCGGCCCTACCTCATACACTCTGAGTTCTCCCTACCCAGGGTAGGCCGAGCCCTGGCCCGAGAGGCCTGCACAAAACCTCTCATCAATAGGAGTCAAGAAAGCAGTTTCTTTAGCCAGGGAGGTGCTGGAGGTGGGGTGGGGGTGCTGTGGGCCCAGCTGGCCGACTGCCTGAGAAGATGGGTGTGGGACCAGCCACGGAAGAGACATGACCTGGACCTGCGGTCGTGGTGCTGGGACAATGGGCCCATCCCTGGGTGGAGGGGGCGGGGGCAGAGTTAAGTATCAGCTGAAACAGTGTTGTTGGGGCAGCCAGGAAAAGAGCACTGGGCAGGAGGCAGGGGCCCAGCTTCAAGACTCCTTAGTGCCAAAAACAGGCTGAGCAGCCTGGGCAGAAGGTGCTACCTCTCTGGGCCTCCTCATCAATAAAGTAAGGCTTCTACAACGCGTGGCATTTCTAGTCTGGTGGAGCTTCGAGGTGGGGTTTATGAAGACTTGTGGGAGAGGAGCTGGGAAGCAGAAGGGAGAGGGAAGAGGGCCCCCAACCAAGCTTTCGTGACCCTGTTGCCCCCTAGTGGTGACAGAGTAACAGAGACACGGTCTCATAGGGGAACACCATGCTGGGAAGGGGAACACCAGAAAGGGAAAGGAGGTTCACTCTTAGGGACTTTACCACCCGCCCACCACCTCCCTCAGGGCTGCATGTGCTCTGGGTGGAGGGGAAGGCAGCCACAGCCGTGCACAAGATAGCACAGGTCACTCACTTGTGCTCATTCTGTGAGCGTTGAGGGGAGGGTACTGTGCAGGCCCCGTGGATTCAGAGACCCTCGGCACAACATTCTTGCCCTCAGAAAGCCTCTGGCCACTGGGGAGCAGACAGGCATACCGGAGACTCTGGAGAAAATAGGAGAACGTGGGGGCTGCTCCAAGGCATGACATATTGTGTGAGAAGCACTTGGGAAGCACATGCCCAGCCACCGTGGGGCCCTCTCTTACTGTTTATTTGTGTTGGGCACACGGGCCTCCAGCCTGCTGGGTTGGGAGGCCTTGGCCACTAGGTTAGGGGAGTCTTTCCCTGCAGGCCCTTCCAGAAGATATGGGTCACCCTCCATGCAGGATGGCTGGATTTCTACCTGGGCCTGCTGCTGTCCTGTCTCCACCCTCGCTGGGAACAGGAGCAAGGGGGACAGCCAACCTTGCCTGGCCCCTGCAGCCTCCTCTACCTACACCCCTGCTCCCCAGATCTGGTTTAGGGACCTGGGTTCCAAAGACGACAGAGAACATTAGGTCTCACCTGCATCTCCCCCTCTCAGGCTGGTGCTCTGAGGGCCTTCAAGCTCCAACCACTACGCAGGCATGGGACACATGATGGGAAGCCTGACTTCCACCTCTCTGCCCCAGGGCCCTGCCCCTGGCCTTCAGAGGCTAGGCTGGAACTCTGTAGGCAGCTTGGAGAGGGAGGGAGAAGAAGCAAGTGTGTGTGTGTGTGTGTGTGTGTGTGTGAAAGAGAGAGGTGTGAGGGGGAGAGAGAGAGGGAGAGAGGCCCAGGGCGAGGAGCTGGGGTGCGTCACTGTTCCTGGGAACACAGACGAGTCTGACTCAGTGGGAACATCCGGCACGAAAGGAAGAGAGAGTGCAGTGGCATTTCTAAGCAGGATGGGAACTCTGGGGTAGCAGAGATCGGGGCTGTGGGGTCAGGGGTGCTGATCCAAGGCCTGGCCTGGAAGAGCCTAAGTGTGGTGGGGAGGGGAGGGTGGACAGGAAGAGATAGTTCAAGGGGAGCAGAGGTTGGACCTCTGGCTGCCTGGGCTGGTCTGGGAAGGAGAGAGAAGGCAGTGGGGCTTTTTGTTCTGGAGACAGAAGGGGACAAGTCATGCATGGGGTTAGGAAAACAGGCCTGGCCAATCAGGGAGGAGGAGGAATGCAGGGACTTCTGACTTGCCCTTCAGGGCCTGGAGGTCGGGGACCTGTTACTGTGGAACCAGACCCCTGTGCTCCTGATACAGAGGGACCACCCTTCCTCCCAGCACCCCGAAGCCCCAGGTCCCAGAGACTCTAAGGGCAGGATCACCAGGCAAGCTGCTCCCTTGGGCAGAGACGACAGCCTCAGGTGCACTGGGAAGATTTGGAGAGAGGCTTTCCCAAGAAAGGCTTCTTCCTTTCTTAGGGTCAGAGAAGCTGAAAGGACCAGCACTGGAGAGCAAGGCCAGGAAGGGCCCAGAGTCAGGAGCTGAGGGGTAAGGCTGTTGGCCAGCCCTGAGCTGTGCTGGTGCGGGCCCTGTGGGAAGCTCCCCACACCAAGGGGAGACCCAGACAGCTGAGCCTCCCAGGAGTGGCTGAACTTTAAAATATAGGCAAGACAATGCTGAACCTAAAGGAATGAATGACTAAGGGTGTTATTTTAGGCATGCGGTAGTACTTGGTGGCCTACAATAGGTGAGCTTCTTAATCCCTCAGAATTACTTAAACCAGTGCTAAAGAGGAGTGAGGGGAGGCTCATTTGGGGTTGGGCCCTCAGACCAAGGAGCGAGATGGGCTGGACTGTAGGCTTTTCTCTACTAACTGGAGAAATGGGGGCCTACTTGATTGCAGGCAGGCCCAGGCTGGGCCCTCCTGGGGCACAGGGCCCCGGCGGCGGAAGGCAGGGCCTGGGGTAGCCAGGCCCCCTGTGTGCTCAACATGCCAGGGAGAAGTCCCTGTCAGTCTGTCTGGGGACGCTGGGGCAGGGCAGGGAGAGGTGCTGGGCAGGGCCAGCTGGCTGCCGGTGCCCTGGTCCTCGCCCTCTGAGACTGGATGGGTGGGGGCGGTGGCCGCGGCGTTCCTGGCTGGGAGCCCAGAGGAGTCTTTTGTAATCACAACATGATCTCGTGTGCTGAGCAGCGAAGCCGGCAGGGAGAGGCCGGCAGAGGCCCGGCTCCGCAGTGGCTCCGGCTTCCCTCCTGCTCTGGCTCCCTCGGGGCTGCTCTGGAATTCTCTCTGTGCCCGCTATTGCCATGCACACGGCTGTGAGTGGCACCTTGCCTTTGGCGGGGGGCTTCTTGGGGCTGGGAGGGGGCTGGGACACCAGGCAGCCACACTCTGGGGGCAGCTGGGGACAGCTGGGCCTGGGAGGAAGAGGGCTGTGCCTAGGCGGGTGGGGGACTGGGCAGGGGCACTGGCCACAGCTGAGTCCCTACAGCCAGAGAAGGAGGGACCCAGGGATCTCGGTGCAGAGGCACTGAGGGGGCCAGGGTGGCTCCCTGGCTAGGCCAGCCCACGGTGCTAGATCTTTCCTGCCCCGACTGCCAGCAGCTTACAGCCTAGAGAGGTTGGGCCCGTGGGAGTGGCTCTTTCCCACAGGCTGGGCACAGGCCTGGGGAGTGGGGTCCAGAGCCTGGGAGCCCAGGACAGAGCAGGGGCCTCTCTTTTCACTGTGGTTCTGGGCCTAGAAGCCAAACAGCTCCCCCTTCGACCTCCCGAATCCCCTGGCAACTTCCCAGTCACGGCAGGTTCCGCTGCCAGAGCCATTTATAACTCCCATTCCAGGCTCTGCTCAGCAGCAGAGCTCCCTGGAGAGCTGGGGGGAGGGGCGGCCACTGCTGGGAGCTACTGGGCCTGGGTAGGAGGCCCTGACCTGCGCCCCGCTGGAGGCAGAGAGATGGGCAGACTGGAACAGTGGGGTGGGGCCTTCCATGGGCCATCTCCTCACATAACCCTAGCTCTGGGTCTGGGTCTGTTTCTTCGGTGGTAAGAATATGGTTGGGTGAGCAAATATGAAAGTTGGGGAACTGGTAAGGGATGGGCCCAGCAGTCAGGAGCTTGGGCCCCCGGCCTTCTGCAGGGGTCTCATGGGGCTGAGTCCCCGATGAGCAGGCAGGAGGAGAAGGACGCAGAGCTGGACCGGAGGATAGTTGCCCTTCGCAAGAAGAACCAGGCCTTACTGCGCAGGTACCAGGTGAGTGGGCCATGTCGGGCTGGGAGAACTGATTGGGTTGGCACTCCCTGTCTGACCTGCACACCCCTGCATGGTGGTCTCTCCCTGCAGGTTTTCAAGGTTAGGGTGGGTGTGTTCCATCTCAGAGGCTCTGTGAGGGTCTCAGAGACTCTGTGACACAGTGCCTCTGCCGCTTGGTGTCCCACTGGTGTCTCTCTGTGTAGGCCTCTCGGCGTCTGTGTCTCTGTGCGTCTGGGGGGCCCTGGCCTGTGCTGACCCCGGGCCGTCCCACAGGAGATCCAGGAAGACCGTCGGCAGGCGGAGCAGGGGGGCATGGCTGTGACCACACCGGAGCTCCTCCGGCCTGATAGCCTCACCGTCACCATCAGCCAGGCTCCTGGAGTAAGCCCCACCCGGGAGAGGGAGGGGTGACAAGGAGGTGGGAGCCCAGTTTGTGCCAGGGGAGCACAGCTGCCCCCATTCCTCTGCTTCTCCCACTTACATTCTGGAGTGTCCCTATCAGCTCCCAGCCTCATGCAGCCCAGGCCACTGCCAGCCCTCATCCCCAGAGTCACAGCTGAAAGGCTACCAAGTAGAATCCTCCTCGTGCACTTTTCCAGCCACAGAGTTCTGCACCTGTGCCCCTAAGCACAAGCTACTCCTAAACCCCAAACCCCAGGGGCACAGAGAAGCTGGGGCTGAATGCCAGGAAGAGTGTCTGAGGGACAGAGCCTCATTGTCTGAGCGCTTTGGATTTCTCAGCTCAGAGACGATGGGCCACTGTGGCGTCTTGGGCCCCTGGGTGGCCCCAGGCCTGGATAACCTAATGCCACTGGTATGTGGATGCCTCGCGGAGTCAGCTCCTCTATGGGCATTCCAGGGAGGGCCAGGGCTGGAACCCAGCCTGGGAAGCTGAACCACTCAAAGGACCCAGCCCCCAGCTCCTGCCCAGCTCTGCCCATGTGGCCTGAGGGCATGGCCCCTCATTCTGCAGGGAAAGCGGGTGGTCAGCCAGAACTGGGCAAGGAGCACCCTCGGACCTGGAGCAGCCAGTGAGATGCTTGAGGATGACGAAGCAGAGGCCCACATCGGTACCTTCTGCTTAGGGGAGCGGGTAGAGCTGGCTGTGACCATGGAAAACAAAGCCGAGGTGAGCAGGGTGGGTGGGGGAAGCCCAGGTGCCAGGCAGCCAGCCTCTTCTTCCCTGGCTCTGCCATGCTGCACATCCTCCCTTCCCTCAGGCCAAGCGGATTGTAAGTGAGAAGCCCACCAGAGCAAGGAACCAGGGGGCAGAAGGGCCACCTGGAGGGGGCTTGGGCCGGAGCCCATCCACACAGATGGCCATCAGCTCAGATTCTGCATGGAAGGTACTTCTTCAAGAGGGGACAGAGACATGAATGTGGTGGTCCCCATCTCGGGGAGGCATAGAAGCTAAGTCACATATGTCTCCATCTGCGGGAACATGGCCCAGGCAGCATTTGCAAGGATTCTCACTCCTTCTTCCTTTCTCTGGCCAGTCTCCATGTTGGGTGGGCCTTGCAGTGAGAGGCAGAGTAAACCAGAGATGAGACCCAGCCCCTTACCCCACCGGACCTCTAGTGGCGAGCCGGTGGGGTTCTGGAATTAGGTCAGGAGTGTGTAGGAGACTGGCCATGTGCCAGATGTGACCTCTAGGTGGCAGCAGCCCCTAGTCCTGGCTCTTGCTCACAGCTGCTGAGTTCCTCTGCACCCAGGGCCTGACCACACACCCCTGCAACTGGGGGATAGGTCCTATTATTATCCCCATTTTACAGATGAGGAAATGATACACAGAGAGGTAAAGAAACTTTCCCAAAAGACACAGCTAACATGTGGATGGAAATCATGTCCATGGCAAACAGCCCATTAGAGATGGAATGGATCTAATTTTGGGGTGGGGACGTTGAAATCTTGAGAGAGGAAGGGGTTAGTACACTCTCTGGATCTCCATTCCAAGCCCAGGACTCTTTCTGCTTTGACCCCACAGTGCTGAGTGTCTTCTCCTTGCAGGGTGCCCGGGAGCCCCAGAGTCCGGGCCTGGTCCCAGACCCAGCTTCTCACCCGTCCATGGTGAGGGCCCCAGAGGCAGGCTGGGACTATGCCCAGTGGAAGCAGGAGCGGGAGCAGATTGACCTGGCCCGCCTGGCACGGCACAGAGATGCACAGGGTGACTGGCGCCGCCCGTGGGACCTGGACAAGGCCAAGTCCACGTGGGTGGCAGGGCTGGGCAGCTTGCTGGGCTGACATGCTTGTGAGGCTGGAGGTTGGGCTAACTGTGGGTGCATCTTAGGGGGCTGCTCGGACCCTCCTCAGGGTGGTGAGGTCTGCCTAGCCCTCTGGTCAGGCTCTGGGCTCAGGGCTCTCTGTGGGCACTGGACCCACTATCTCCCTGCTGTCCTCAGTTCTGGGGCTGGGGTTGGGGCAGGTGGTGCTGGTGTGGGTCTTGCTGCGGCCTCTGTCCTCCCTGCCACCAGCAGCCTGATTCCCTCTCTCTGCTACACAGGCTACAGGACTCCAGCAAGCCTCGGGAAGAGGGCCCAGCAGCCAGGGTGGGCAGCACAAGGGGTGAGCCAACACCCACCTCTTCCCCACCCTTGGCTTTTTTCAGACCCCTCACCCCAGTACTTTCTTTTCTGCATCTCTTGGTTTACCACTTATTTTCAGAGCTGGAAGGAAGCATGGAAAAATATCTTTCTTCCTCTCCCTATCACAGGAGGGCACCATGATCTCCCTCCGCATCCTCTGAACCCACAGGTCCTGTCCTGGGTTCTGGCCCTAGAAGGTCTGGGAGGAGGCTCAAGAGGAAGTCAGCCTGGGGTCCTTTTAAGGTGTTGGTCCCTTGTGGGTGGGAGTTCTCGTTCCCCTGCCCCAGGCCTGTTGTGGAAACAGAGCTCTGAATCGCTGGTCATCATTTTACACATGAGAAAGCTGGGGCTGGAGAGGCTCTTTCAGTCACCTAGTCAGGAGTGGCAAAGCCAGCGTAGGGGCCCAGCTCTCCTACTCTCAGGCCGAGACTCTTTTTGGGAGCCAGAACACTCACAACTGGACCAAGAGAAGGACCGACCGCTTCCTGGTCCTGGAAGAACTGATGTTCCTGCTTTGGATCTGTTACCCCACCCTTTCCCCATTTCCTTTCCTCACTTAGGTCCCAGGAGCCACCGAAAGCTACATCCCCCACCAGTGCCCCCTGATGGCAAAGGTGAGTTGGGAGAGAAGGAGGAGCAAGTCCCATGAGCTGGTAAAGGAGCTGGGGGGCTATGGACCTCTTCTCTCTTGAATTGTGGACCATCTCTTGCAGGTGGTACTACTTGGGGTGGACAACCCAGCAGACCCTTGGTGGCACCGGCCACACACAGCAAAGCCCGGGGGAAAGAGAGGCTGACTGGCAGGGCCCGCAGGTAACATGTGGCAGGGAACAAAATCGAGGGAGGCATCTGAGTTCCCCGATTTCCTGGACCTCCCTTGCCCCTGGGAGGTCAGGACTGGCACTGGCCCAGGTGCTTGCTAGCCCCCGGGGTCTCTGCCTCTTGGCTAACTGCTGCCTGGTGGCAGGTTAATGAGATGTGGAGAGAGGCCATCAGCAAAGGCAGCAGCAGCATGAGCCGGGTGCCCAGGGAGGCTGGTGGTAATTACAGCAGTTACCTTCCCCTGGGAAGTCAGGCAGCCTTTCTCAGACAGCACAGGCCGGAACATGCCTGGAGTCCCCACAGAACTCAAAGTGCTACAGGTTTGGCCATAAACAGCAGCTGGGGACCTGGGATGGGGCTACGGTAGAAAGAAAGAGGAAGGGAGAGAGAGAAAGAGAGAGAGAGAGAGAGAGGAAGAAAAGAGAAAGGAAGAAAGAGAAAGAAAAGAAAGAGGAAATGGCTGGGTTTGGAGAGCAAGGCTGGGCTGGGAGGGGAGCATCCTGGAGCCTCGTTCTGGCTCTGAGGTTCCTCTGAGACCCTTGGGCTCTGGCTTCTGTCCGGGAAACATGGGCTGCTGGCTATGGAGCAGGTAATGTGAAGTGGGGTGGGTGGGAGTAGGGCCTGCCATGTGCTGTGTTTCTACAGGTGGGAAATGAAGGAAAGCAAGGAGGAGCTGGAGAGCCAGGAGGTGGGTACTGGGAATAGGATGGGGTGGGCTAGGGACATAAGCCCTGAACTCACTAGCCAGCAGAGCCAACCTCTTGTTTCAGGGAAGCCAAAGCACCAGAAAGACTCCAAATGAGAAGGAACATGCACAGACTCCGAGCAGGATGGAGTCAGGCAGACCAACAAGTGCCCAGGCAACCAGCTCGGCCCCAGCATCAGGATCACCAGAGGGGCCAAAAGGGGAGTCAGGAGCTTCGACAGCCAGTCCCGTCCCTGACTCTCCACAAAACACTGACTTGGTTCCCCTCGACCTCTCTCTAGGAGGCGCCAGTAGTCCTGGGCCCGGGGAGAGTGAGTGTGTGCTCAGTCCAAGGCCTGGGGCCCAGGAGAGCCCCGTGTCCTGGCCAGGTGGTCCTGAGCAGCCCCTGGGGTGGAATGAGCCCCAGGCCAAGCCAGAAACCCAGGCTTGCTCTGGGCCCCAAAGAGGAGTAGGGCCCCTGGAGCCCAGAGAAGACAGGTCTGGCAAGGCTGGGGCCCAGCAGGGGCTGGCACCGCGAAGCAGGCCCCCCAGAGGAGCCAGCCAAAGGGCAAGGGGCACAGGAGGTGTGAGGAGCAGGACAGGGGGTCCTGGCCCTGCAGGAAGATGCTGAGCAAAGCTTCTGGGAGCAGGGGGCCAGGCTGGGGAGGAGGAGGAGGGAAGACGCTGTCAAGAGTCTTCGTTCAATAGGTGTGGTGGCTGGTGGCTGTGGCAGCCCCGCTTGAGCAGTTTGGCGGAATGACACTGTAAAGGCAAGGAACTGGCCCCTGCACCTCACGGGTACCTCCCTGTGCACATGTGTGCTCTCACCTGCAGGTATAGCCCTTGGTGCATCCCTGCGCCATACCCGGTAGGCAAGCCCTGTCTTGAGCCTTCTGCTCCCCAGGCCACAAGCTCCCCCACCACGGCGAGAAGACAAGCCTTGGAAGCACTCAGCACCTGGCTCGCCTGACTCCTGTCACCCCCAGGGCCTGGACTCCCTTTCTGGCTGCCAGCTCCGGGCTCCTCAGGTCCAGGCAGCCTTAGCAGCTGGCATGGCCAGCCTAGGCCTGGGCCCTTTCCTACACCCCTGTCTTGCATCCAGGTGACTCACAGTCCCAGACTCACAGGATGGCCAAACCAGGGATCTCACCATCAGCTGGCAGCCTCCTGCCTTTCGGGAGGAGGAGGCTGAGGCCCAGAGAAAGGGAGGCCACAGCTGGCAGGGACAGAGCTGGGGACAGGTCTCCTCTATGAAAGGAAGGGTCTCTGGAAAGCCTGCTCTCTGAAATGGGGTGGAGTGGGGAGGGACAGCTTCCTCTCCCCGCAGCAGGGTGGGAGAGCTCACCGTCAGGGACCTCCTCCCCCACACCCAGGTCAGACATCAAGTGCACCCTGAATGGGGGCAGAGGGGAGCCCTGATGCCCAGGGTCGTTTCCTGCTCTAACTTCCTCTTCCTCTTCCCGCCACCTCCCACACTGTGTCATGCCAAACGGAGGACTCAGGCAGGGACTTGATAGACAGAAACAGCGGCTCCAGCTAAGTACATCAGGACTTGTCTTTCCTACTTAGTCTGTGTTCCCGCCCCTCCCCTGAGGCCCACGTCTGGTGAATTATCCAGACTCCGCACAAGCTGTGTCTTCCTCTCAATTCAACAAACATTTCCTGAGCACCCACTACCAGCAATGCAACCGGTGGGCGATGGTGACTTTGCTAGTAAGGGGGAGGGAAGAAACCCAGTCATCCGGCATATTCAGGCTGCACAGCAGGAGCTGTTCTTGGCTGGAGGTGCCCGACAGGGGCTGGGGATGGTGGTAGGAGCCCAAGGGAACCATCCCATCTCTTCTCACCAAGGCAGGGGCACCTCCCTTTCTCATCAAGTGCGCCCCTTGTCCCCAAGCCCCTGCTTGGGTCTCCCCACATGGCCCCACTGCTTCCCTCTGATCCTGCCGTGGTTGTTCTTCTCTGCTGAAGGCCCTGGGCCTCACTAGCCTCTCTGGTTCTCTAGGAAGTGTCCAGAACATTCCCAGGATTTCTCTGCTGTCATAGTCAGGCATAAAGTATGGCTCAGCTGTGTGAGGGCTGGGCCTCCTCACTGGCTCTTGCTCCACTCTCTACCCTTCTATTCAGAAGGCATGAGGAAAGGGTGTCTTTAGGGCAGATCAGATTGTTTAGAGCAGTGCTTCTCACACATTAAGGTGCAGACTAATGCAGATTCTAACTGGGGAGGTCTGGGGTAGACTTGGGAGTTTGCATTTTTGGGGGGGTAATTCAAGTTTGCATTTTAAAGGCTCCAGGTGACACCTATGCTGCTGGTTCCCGACCCACTTTGACAGTAAAGGTTTGGACTAGAATATGTGGAGGGCTTAGAGCAAAGACAGACTCTAGGCTCTAAGGGTTGCTGGCTCTGCAGTGGAGGGAGGCAGGCTGCCCCTGCCCGGTGGGGGCTTCCTGGCCTCAGAGTTGGGTAGGAAGCTGAGGCACTGGGTAGATGCTTGAGAGTGGGTGGTGCCAACTTCCTGTAGTGGGGAGTGAGAAAGCTGGTTGGGAATGGGATGAGGTGAAGGTGGGTGGAAGAGGTTGGTGTGGGATTGACCAGAGGATCGAGACTTTTGAAAGGCTTGGAAACATTCTGTGCATATGGGAAGAAGACCCATGTGAGACATGAAAAGGCAAGGGTGAAAGATTCCAAGCTCAAGCCTTCTTCTTGCCTTCCAGTCACATATATATAGCTTTAGAGAATAGCATTAGCCCTGGAACCCATGACTCCCAAAGGATGGAGCTGGGTTAGGGTGGGCTCTGGCACAGCCCTTGAATTCAGATGTCTCCCAAGTAATTGTGATCCAGAATTTGAATTCTGAGATTCACAAACTCTCCCCAACTTCCAATGCTGCCCACTGTACAGACGTGCCTTCATTAAAGGGTGTGTGCCAAGGCATGTGTGACGATGGCTGGGGATGTAGAATTTGGGGAGAGCTCTGGTTCAGGCCTTACAATAGGACCTGAGCAGGAGAGAAAGCTGGGCAGAAGGGCTATGGAGAAATAGGGCTTCTTTCCCTTCGGGACATTAGGAGAAAGGGATGTGGGGGTGAGTCAGTGGGGGTTGGAGAGAATGGAGACTGGCACAGGACACCTGCAGTGCAAGACAGGTACCACCGAGCTTTTCTCAAAAGAGGAGAGCCCTATTTCAGGATAAGCAAACCAGCAGCTATGGTGGCCACCCCTCCTGCTCTGGGATGGAGCCAGCTAAGGAGCAGGAGGGAAGCCTAGATGTCCCTCCACAAAGCTTGGGGCCATGGAAGGCGGGCCCATTTCTTCCTGGCTCCTCTGGTTCAAGGCCTGGCTGGGAGCCTTCCTCCTGGATGCCCTTCCCCTCTCCAACTAACAGAAAACTACTCCTCGAAGGTGGGAAGTTCTTCGTGGGAAGTGGCTTCAGGGTCCCAGGCACAGAGCTGGAGGAACTGACAAAGGAAGAGTGCAAAGGGTAACAGGGAGCCAGCACACATCTCTGTCCTGGCCTGTATCACCTTACAGAGGGGAGCAGCAGACCATACCGTGAGGGAGGTATTTTTTTGGATGACAGGCAGTGTGGTAAAGTGGAACAAACATGGGCCTTAGAATCCAACAGACCGAATCTGAATCCTAGGTCTGCCATCTGTTAGCTGGGTGACTTTAGTCAATTTTAACCTTTAAAGGCTCAGTTTTCTTGTCTGCAGAATGGAGCTAGTAATACCTATGTTGAAGGGTTATTGAGAGAATTAAAGATAAGAGTATGCAACTATACCTGGCATACAGTAGGCAGTCTATTAACAGTAGCCTGGCACACAGAAGGCACTCAGTAAATATCCGTTGAATAAATGAAGTAGCTATTTGTTGTGATCTCTGTCTACTTTGTTTTCTCTTTTCCATTGCCTTCTAGTCTCATCTTCCCTGGGGTCCATACATTCTCAGGGAAATAAGGGATGGTTGTAAAGGTTACCCAGCTTTCCAGGACAGTGAGCAGCTTTTAATCCCCTGGGGGAGTCTAGTTGAGTTAAAAGCATCACGAAGTGACCCTGCTCTTACAGGAATGTTCTTTGACATCTTCCACGCACTGGATCACAAGGATGCCCTAAGCATTTCCCCCTGACTTTGCACACTGGCTCTTGCAGCTCAGAGCATTTCCTCTTTTTTTGTTTACATCAGTAGCAATCTCATGAACTCACTCCCCAGAAACAAACTCCCTTGTGGCGTTCGCTCCATGCCTCCCAAAGTTGAATCACTCAAGGGAGCAGCATGATTATTTTCTTATGGTCAAGGGACAGGTAATTGAGGGTCCCTGGAAGCAGAGGATCCCCAGCTGTCTGACAAGGCCTAAGTTTGGAAGATCCGATCAGCAGTCAGCTCCAGCCCCAAACCCTAGCCTCAGGGACAAGAATAACAGGAAAAGATGGAACTGCAACCCCCATCTCAGGAACAAAGGAAATGGCAAAAATCCCAACTTGGCTACATCTTCTTATTTGGGGGACTAAGTGGCCGGGCGGGGCGCCCAAGGAAATAGGAGAAACTAAAGGCACCACTTCACTCCTGCCTCTTGAGTCATTTATCAGTGTCTACAGACCCCACAAGCAACACTTCCTGGGGGAGGGCAACCAGGGCTTCTGAGGAAGGACTGGCACAGGGTGACCACAGCCTCCCTGAGGGGGAGGATGGGAAGGCAATGAGAGAAGCCCACATAAAGCACAGAGCGAGGCTGCTTTCTCTCAACAAGTCTGCGGGCCTACGTCACGGCCTCTCATTAAGCATTCACTTGACGCCGGGGAAGTGAAATAGCGCAGACCTGGCACCAGAAAGAACAAATGTGGCACCCACTGCTCCTTTTAAGGACTGGCTGGAGGAGCAGCAGGCTCCAAGGCAGGAGGTGAGGCAAACACACCAGTACCTTTGTGGGAGGGGGAGGGAGGACTCTTTCAGGCCCGCCTCTTTCTTAACAAGCTCTCCACAAGCTCTCCTACAACCTTCAAAAATAACCAACAATGAAGGCTTTTTCCCTTTTTAAACTCTAGGGACACAGTGTTTCCTCTTCCCCCAGCAGGGCAGCTGGCTTCAACCAAGAAAGAGGGTCAAAAGTCACCTTGGATAACCATCTGTTCAAACAGAAATACCCTAACCCCAAGTTACTGAATCAGAGGAAAAGGCTGGGCTTGTGCAGAGAATCACCTAGAAGGCTAGTTAACACAACACGGAGCTCCACCTCCTGAATTCCTCATTCAGTTGGTCTGGGATGGGGCCTAAGCCATGGCATTTCTAACAAGTTCCCAGGTGATGCTGATGCTGATGGTCTGGGCACTGATGTCATGTCTACTACTTGCCCCTTCACATTTCTTTCCATGCATCATTTTTGCCCAAAGGGACAGACATTCTCCTGAAAATGTATTAATCACCTCATGTGAAGACACTATACTTTTATTCCTAAGATCTCTGACCCCTATCACATCTATGAGCTCCATTTGCTCTAATGAATTCCCATTTGGTTAGGAGTAAAGAGAGTTGATGGGTCAAGGGCAATAACCAAGGCCATCACTGGGTTTGTAGGCTGCCTGTCTTCCAGTTCAGGGGTCCTGAGATCACACTGCCTCCCCAGCTCAGGTCCTCGTAATAGTGTGAGCTGCCTACAGCTCAGAGACTGGCTGCTGCGACTCAACACTGGCCACATTACTTGCAGGGAGCTGAAGGGACAGGTGGTCCCCAGGACTGCGTGGGAGGAGACCAACTCATCCTCTGAGCAGAGGTAGCAGAGAAAGGTAGAGTTAAACGGAAATCCTTGGTAACCAGCATAACTGCTTTTTTGGAAAAGTTGGTTTGGGGACTTCTGAGGCCAACTTAGCACATTGGAGGCAATAAATAAATAGTTATTGAAATAATGGTGGTGCTTTATGGAAAATATTTAAGGAAAGTTAGAATCTTATTGCTGATTAACTGACAAGCTATTGCAAAAACAGATTACTGTACTTAGGGAAACAGAGAAGTAACAAGGATAAATTCTTGTTGGTGCGGCTGTAAATTCCTTAAAAGCAAGAATGTTATGGTAATTTTCTGGTCCCATAGTAGTAGTTTAACAAATGTTTATAGAATTGAATGGGGCACAAGGAAGCTGGTTTGGCTCAGGTGTTCCTAATTGACCAGGTGGCTCACATGCATAGAGTGTTCCTGGGAGTCATGGCTGTTTCTGCACTAAGGATGGAGAGCCTGGTTGAGTCTGGGTGTGTGGGTATAAAAAAAGATTTTGTTTTTGTATTTTTTAAATTAACTACTGAAGGGAACCAAGAGCACAACACAGGTTTTCTGGCAGCAGAAACCCCGCAGGCTATGTCAGCGAGTAAAACAGATGTGACCAAAAAACTGTCGACAAGGCAGATATTTTTATAGCTTGACATTCGGCCACAGGGCCAGGACAAAGGAGACAATGAATGGGTCACATATTCTGTGCTGCCTCCGTTAAGCACCACATGGAATACAGCTGTGGACTCCTGGCGCCCGGCAAGAACAGGCAGGTCAAGCCCAAGTCCCTTAGCTCGATAGTAAAGAAACTGCGCCCAGAATGGCCTGTGCAGCTGTGATCTAGCAATCCACTCCTCTGAACCAGATAATGGGCTGTGGATGTGGGTACACAAGCGGATCATGACAGTGAAACAACAATGACACTAAGGCCGATTCTATCCAACACAGTGATCAACCAGATGATCAGCAAGCTTGAGCACCTGCTCCTGGGTGCCCGGCACTGAGCTTAGTGCTGGTCCTGGGAAATGAGGGAGGCCACACGGCTCCTCCCTCCACTGAGGGAGACCAACAAGAAGTACAGCTGTGGCCCTTTTGTTACCACATTGCAATTCCAGAAATACTTCCATTCTCTGTGGACAGGAAGGGGACGACAATGATTACACCTCTTAAATAGCTGTGGCAGCCCTAAAGCTCAGGACCTGACCTTTCAGTTCCCCTTAAAGAAACACGTAGAAACAAGTAGATGCTCTCCACTCAGCATTTCAAAACAGGATATAAATACTCAACGAAAGAACACATTATCTTAGGATTCCCTAGTGAAAACTGGAAAACAAGGTAGACAGAAAAAATTCCAAAGCTGTGGTCTCATACCGTGGAGAAATCTAGAGCTGTTAAGAAGAAAAATATTTCTCATGCTGGAAACTTCAGAGAAATACTTCTTTGCACCTCAGCACAATGGGGAAAAGAAATGATACCCACACAAATCCAGTCAAAAAGGTTTAGCAAACTCCTCACCCCTCACTCTCCAAAACTTCACTTTCAAAAGAGGATTAGCTCTTCAAACTCAGGCTGTCGGGGGATAAACACACAGTCACATCTAATAGAAACAAACACTGAGAAATGATCCTGGTAGTCCCGTGTGCAAAACACTTCAAGGAAAGTAATCCCCCTTTGCCCAGATCACTCTTTCCTGGCTCAAAACCTGACGGACAATTTTGCAGCTCATTTCTAACCCTTGAAAATAAAGCTATTCTGACCACGGCTCCCCGCCACTGGGCCCTGTTCTGCTAGAACAGCGTCCCTTGCATCAGCCAGCAGGCTCCCACTGCACAGGCCCAACGTGTGAAGCCGTGTGCAACTGCACAAGCCACATGTCACTGTCTATGGAAAGGAGGGGCTGACTCCAAAAACCTTGGAAACTCTTTCACTCCCCTTCTGCTCTGCCTTACCAAGCCCTCTCACAGAAAGCCATTGTGCAGGCTCAAGAGGGAAATAAAAGAAGGGCGGACTTTTTCCATGCTCCCCTGCAGACTACAAGGTGATGTAAAAGCACAGCAGCCACCCCCCATCAGCTCCAAAGAAGTGCAGGCCTCAGGGGGCCCCACTGACACTGGCTTCTCACTCCGCTTCGCACTGGGCAGCATTGTCCAATAATGAGCTGAGCTCAATCGCTTGCCGTGTATTTTGCAGCACAACTAATCCCTTATATTTGTGCTTTTCACCCACATGTCTTTTACTGTTTGCTCTAAGGAAGAAAAAGCCTCACCTTCAAAGCAACCTACACCTTTTCTGAGCCCTGTGGCTCTCTGGCCTCCTTCATTGTAGACCAAGTCTGACCACTGCAGGTGCATCCATTGGTCTCCCCCCAGTATTCTTGAGCTTTCTAGGGGCCAGCGGTTTAAATAAAGGTGAGAACAGTGATGCTTTCAGGTGCTGATCGTCACCTCAGCTGAGCCCTCAGACAGCTCGATGTTTATAATAATTCTTAATATGCGTGCTTACGGGTCCCTTAGCTTCCTCAGCAAGGCAGGCATCTGCTCAGAGTCCTTTAAAAGCAGAATTTTTTCAACCTTGTTAAGGTTGGCAAAAGGTAGCTGAACCAGGTATCACTGTTCTTCCGACCCCGTGATTGCTTCCTGACGAAGATGGATTCCTGCCACCCTTCACTAATCAATTTGGTTAAACCACCAGGCACAGGGAACAAGAGAGCAACTGCTTTCTCCTCCTACACTTATTCATCACCACACCTCAGACCACTGCCTCTTCCAACCTCTACTCCTTCCCCAAGAAGCATGAAAAGAGAAGCAATCAACTTACACAGACTGACGCAGAGTTCTTAGAATGTATTTTTGTTCACCTGAAAAATAAAACTTTTAAAAAATATACAGGACTTTTTGAGTACAGGTATATCTTAAATGGCTGAATTATAAATAATGTCTCTGGTCAGGCTCACAGCTAGAGCTGGAGCTAATGTCCCAATTCCAGTGAAGGCTTTAGAGAGTCAGGAGGCCAGCAGCTGGACCCACGAGTGGTCTCTCTAGACTCTTTGATCCATCTCAAAGTGGATTAAACAGTCCAGAATGCAGGGGTCAGGGTGGGGACAGGGGACTGGACTCCCA